TCAGTTCAACAACAGCAGTGATTTCCACCGCTTTGAACGTTCCCGGCCTTACCCACAACCTAATCCAGCTCCTGTGACATCCTGGGGGCCAAACGCTTACTCCTCCCCTATGCACCCTCGTCCACTACCAGCTCCGGCTACCACAGCCAGCAGGCAGCTGCCGGGTACATCCAGTGGCTACACATCCCAGAACGCTCATACCAGTGCGCTGCCATACAGTCCGATGTCTTTCCCTCGAGGCCGCGGGTATGCTGGGACATAAAATCGTGAATATTATGCTACGAGTCCAAGTGTTAGCTGCCCCTGGTGCGGACTCATATTCAGAGACAACGGAGCACTCGGTGCTCATATCACGCTAGTGCACTCTTCATCTGCTTGAAGAAAATCCTGTACTGAGTGGACTATACTTTACTGTACTTGTTTGATGTTCAAGTTGATTTTATGTCGTGTATCTAAATAGAACCACAAACACGCCATTGGTTTGCTAGAACATGGTTTTGGATAACATGAATGTTGGAACTCGTTGAAAGATTTGAGTACTCCAAACGCCCCAGTTTTAGAAGCGCAACTATTGCCAGAAATTCCTCTGTCACCTCCTTCCGCCTGTGAGCCTCAAAACTGTGAATGCACAGTTCGCGATATTGTGCGACAAATTTCCTCGACCACGGGCTTGACACTTCGATGTTTGCAACAAGCTCTTCTAGGTTTGTCAAGGTTCTTTCGAAGAGTTTCGAGAACACCCAAGAGAACGCCAATCCATTATCTTCAAACTCAAGTGGAAACCATACTCCTGAGACGATTCGTTGCCAAAAGAGTCCATCTAGACGCTTTCAGCAATACGTAAACTACAGCAATATGTCCTGCACTCACGGAAGATGCAGCATTGCTGAAGCGATGGACAGTGAGTAGCAAAAGCGAGGATGATGCTATTTTGTTGATCGGGTTCGAACCACGACTCCCCAATGTTATAAAATGACCATCTAAAGAATTGAAGCCAAGGCATCATCGAAAGGTATGCTTGAACCTCTGAGATAGACCTCGTCACTGTCTCCTACATGAAACCGGTCAACAGTCGTAATTCTAAGTAGTAGAAATGAAGAGCTGTATTACCTCGTCCAAGTGCCGAACTTCGAGTCCGCTGATATCGAGGTGCGTGATGCAATCGAGAAAAAAGGCAACTGCTTGAATGAAATCGACGTTCAAACCCGGCTGTTCGGATAATCCGAGGCCAAGTACGCCGTTTCGTTTATTTGAAGTATTCCACTTCGAAATAGCAGGAAGCAGCGAAGAAGGCGGCTCAACCTCGTCGCTTGTCCAAGCTATATCAATAGCCTCCAAGGCTGGAAGATGGAAGCACTCGAGCCACTGTAGCATAAGTCTACTCGTTGCTTTCAAGTTCTTCAATGCGGGAAATGCGACCTCGGGACCACGATAGTCTATAAATACGTCCCCTGTGGGATTCTTGAAGAAGGGAATAATAACATTTGTCAGGGTGTGCCGGTGACGTTCGAGAAAGGATATCATGGGACGGGTGACCGGCGAATAGCAATCAAAATATTCGAGTTTAGGAAAGTCGCATTCGTAGAGCGTGATTCCAAATCTCTCGGTTTTTCCATAAAAATCCAAAAAATTGAGCCTCAGACACAGGACATTAGTCATGGTCCGGAAGCCATTTGCTATAAGTTTGAAGGACGCTAGCAGATAGGTGGGCATTGGGCTAGAGACTTTGTAAGAAAGATTCGCTCTGTACATCATCATTGCACGTACGCATGAATCCCGAATATAAAACAATGGATCAGGGCTCCTAACTCTGGGTTTCGGAGTAAAGTCTTGAAGAAAAGGACTGATTCCCTGGGCTTGGATATTTGAACCAATTCGTAGAGTAACGAGACTGAGGGCCAATATAGCGCTCTGCAGACGCGGGATAGCGTCGTCCATGTTGACATATCTGACATGCGAATAATCTGATGCCAGATCTCAATGGGCACGACGTTCGCGGCCATTATTTGCAGTATATGATTTGAAGGAGACGAAGCTTTATACCCACCACTATTGTGTGGGTCCGCATGAGAAATTAGGATATCAACAGATTCGGAACAAGTGATAGATCGAGGGCTAGTGGACCATATTCCGGTCCGCCGGAAGTGGGGTCCCAATACCACGGGTTAATCTAATCGCCCAAATCAGTCGGTTGAAGCTCGCCAATGGCCGACCCAATTTTGGATCTACGTAATCCCTTGAAATATCCGAGGGAGTAGAACATGGGCGATTGATCTTTTCAATAATCCGATTGCATATCAGATATTGGCACAGGGTATCAAAATGATTTAGCAGAACCGTGGCTGTAATCTATACAGTATGTATCGCGTTTCACAACTATCCCATGGTGAGGCCCGGGGTAGACCTTTACTTAAATACTACAATTCGAGTCATGATGAGAGAGTAAGAAACCAAATATTCTAGCACACGAAAGGATGCCAGAATCCATCACAATGCCTGAGGTGAATGCGAGAAGGGGTGTCTGAGGTCCGTGCCACTGGCACGTGTTGCGCACGGACCATTCATAATCCTGATTGCGTGTTCTGTGATTCTCGTCTTTCCGGAAAGGCAAAGCATACACCAAGTACCCCTGCACAAGGGCACCACGAAGGCTATTCGCTGGGGAGAACAGATCTAGATCAAGGTCCTTTTTTCGCGGAATGGTGCGCTATCACATTGATCTCTCGACCCATGAATGTGATTGAAAGATCCTTTTTGCTCAGCACGATCAGTGATACCCAGAAACTCAACGCCGACTCAATGTCCCTTCAACCCTGGAAAGTCGCTTCGCCACCCTGAATCTCTCTTTTCCTACCGGAGCTTGAGAAATGTTGCCCATGTAGGAAGAGACAGGTGAAATTGAACCTCCTCCATCTTGTCTTCCAGCGATACAGGCTAATTCACCCTAGTTCTTACTTAGTCGATCCATACACCTACTCTTCCGCTTCTCTCATTCAATACCGACGTCTCCAATTTCGTTTATCCACCGTGAAAGCCACATTCACAAGTGCCGCGCTCAACTGTCTCATAACACGAAACCCAGCACACTCCCCATTCCATGGGCTCCAGCGCAGTTCCTAACCTAACCCAAGTTTAGCACGGTCATCTAGGAGACCTGCAACCCGCACTTGTTTCCATTCATTTCTACATCGTCTCTCTCATTGCTATCCAACGTACTGGTTCGTTCAACCCACAGGACATCTATACAACCCATACCCAGCTCACACCGCCGGATCTACAACACAAAACCCAGAATCGTCCACTCTTTATTCCGTGAGATGTCGCAGACTGAAGGATGCGAGGGTTGATAACCAGAGCTGAGATAAGGTACACAGTCTCTGTAACTCGACCGATGAGCTACGCATTGATTATAAGCGAAAGAATACCACGATGGTTTATAGTAGAGCTTGGATGGTTAACGCTATGTCACTCTTGTACAGACACGTTTTTTCGTAACCTATTGCTGTAGAACGGGGATTTACACCCGGATATATGCCTTGATACACCAATAGAATAATTTCGCAACCAATTTTCTATCGCTTTTCGGCATTAGCCGGACGAGCCTTCGAGTGGCCTACTTCTCTACTTATATACTGCGTGTTGGGGATGTGAAATTCTACCGGCATCATCCGAGCACTTGACCGCTGCGCCAATAGTGTACGATAAGTGGTTAAGCTCCCCAGATTGCCCTTGAATATCTATTCGCTCTCAAATTCTTTTTACTAACTCCGTGTGACTATGAGCCTCTCTGAAAGAACATTCCCGTTCCGAACTTTGCTTTGACATAGAGCTGTGACGCTAGTCAGCACACTAGGTTGAACTTCCTTTGCCGAACCTGTACAAGTAAGGCATAAAACCTCGAAATGCCTTCCGACAGATCGTGACACCAAACCCCGAACCGGGCAGCTGCGTCGCAGAAACTGGATCAGATCACCAGCCAGAACTCCGAAGGGCTTTAGGACTTCTTGCCAATGTGCAAGGCATACCTCACTGTCAATCCGAAAGTCTACACCACAAACCAGGAAAAGATCACATTCATCCTATACTTCTGCCGAGGAACAGCAAAGGACTATATATGCCTTTAGAGAACGGGTAGCCTACACCCTCGGGAGTTACCCCCAGTGTACAGCGTTTCGAGAACGGTTCCTGAAGGACTTCTATCTCCCATCCTTTGCACTCATCAAACATGGTTCGTGTGTTATCGTATCATCGCGCTACTTCCTTCATTTGTGTCACCATTTGTCTTCCGGTAACGAGCCCCAAACAAAGCACGAACGATCAGCAGGTCGAGGTACGTCTACTCTATTCCTCCAGTTAGGTCGGGCGGCAGGCATTGATCAATACTCCGTCCGATTACTCTACAAGATCCACCACGAGTGATCGTTCTCAAGCATGAAACCGTGAGGGTAGAGAGGAAAGGATACCGAAAAAAATTAGCGTGCATTCTCCTTTGGCTGTTGTTTCCAATCTATATTCGGTCCTTTATAACCTCAACTTTTTTCTTCCAGCTTGTATCTTTAACACGGTCACGCCTACCCGAAACATGGTGTTTTTGTTTTCACCTTGGAGAGTGGGTAAATTCTTGTAGGGTGAGCTTGACCGATATCTTTTCTTTTCATTGCTTACCAGTTAAGGATCGGTTATAGGTATATCTTTTGGTAAGTTCGACTGCGCTATAACCATCGTGTTACTGCTTTCGGTCGAGGCTCAAAAACGCAAGACTAAAATCGGGAATTCAATACCTTAATTCACAATCGAGAAGGGATACAAGTTATATGACAAGGTCAGTCCGGGCTTCAGATAGATTCTGCAGAGCGTGGAGCCGATATCAGGATGGTGTACGGGTACTAGTAGGTTGGCCAAGACTGATCTGGGTGTTTAGCGAGTATAATACGACGCTCGGAATGAAAAATCGGCATGATAGTGTGGATACGTAAAAAATCTTTACTATCCGGACTATATGGTTCGATCCAGACTCGAACTGAAGACCTTCTGTGCACAAATTCACAACATCCACGATGTGAGACAGATGTGATGACCGACTACACCATCGAACCATTGGTTGCATGGGACCCTCGCCAATTCATAGATTGTTAGCGTGAACAAGGCATGTCAAATATATGAATTCAACCACCTACTTCTGATATTTGCCTACTTGTAGCATCGTGGAAGAATGAAACGTGTGAGAGAAGCGAAGAAAAGAAGGGCGACACGTGTTTACGACATTGATGGGATCTCGGACACTCCGGTTCGGCTCATTTCTTTCCTTTCGCCTCTCATGTCCCCACAATCGCTCCGTCTCCTTCAATGTATGTCGTCCCTCCATTCGCATCACAGATTGCGCTAATTCGTATCCTTTTAGGCCTAAAGACCAGCATTGTGGGATAGATTGGATGATATTGGTGAAAGGTACGTCCTCCGACGTTTTCATCACGATCTTGCGTTCATTTGTCTTTTTTTTTTTAGCCCCGAACCTCTCATTCCTCTCGACCTCCACTTTAGACATACCCTCAAAACCATGGAACAAAGACGAAGAACCCAAATTCTCTGCGTTTCGGCTCCATCTCGCTGCATTTGCACCCATCGTACATGGTACGTGTATCACGCGCAACCTCCTTCATTTGGTTCATCATTTTCCTTCCAGGAACGAGGCCCTAATCCGACCACGAAAGATTACTCTATTCCTTCAGCTATGCCGGGCGCTGATGGTAATCTGGCCTGGTTACAAGATCCACCTTCTCTACCGTCAGAAGAACTTCCGCCGCCTCACCTCCGAGCAAAGCATGGACCCGTTTCCCGGGTAGAAAGGAAGGGTTACAGGGCATATTGAATACAACGTGCGTTCCCATCCCACTGTGATCTTTCTCCATCTGAATCATGTCCGTTTCTTCACAGGCCACTACGCTTTTGGGCTCCGTTATATACTCTTAGTTCCCTGCGCATATCTGTAACACGGACCTCCTCCTCCCGAAGCACAACTCTGACAGGAAGCACGTTGTTTTCAATTGGAAGGTGTCTCCATGGACGATTCCTGACACCAAACGTTTTGAGTTGATCATACGTTCAGGTGTGCGACTACAGTCTCTCCGTTTACGCCAAGCGCTGATTGTTTTCTCCCCGGGTTACAGGTTCTACCTCATCTAATTCCAGAACAATCCTTACCACCTCGACTCTGAATGATGCTATAGTGTCGAAGAATGGAATTAATACCAAGCTCGGACGCAATAGGTGGTGGCGTGCTGTACTGCACTGCTCCATCTCATAATCACTGACCCTCAGACTCCTCCTTCCAGGCCCAACAATTGCTTTGCGCCGTTAATCCCATTAATTTCCACGCCCAACCTCCCCCGAGACACAATGCCTAATGCAGAAGATCGTTCCGACCACCTTCCATTCGATACACGATGACCCCGTCCTCCCCTACCGAGCGTAAACGTTCCTTACCCTCCAACAGACATGCGACTAAATCGTCCCTGGGTCCTAGGGACCAGTTCGTGTGCAACAGTCCTTGCCGTCCAAATTCCAAACGTTATGGGTAGAGGGTACTTGGCTCTGACACGACATATCGTTCTCCACCACGCCCATAGGCTCAACAACGAAGTAAACGCGTTTATATCCTGGTTCAATTATATCTTCGGGTGAATATAAATGGGGTTTTATGGCCTTTACCACCCCAAGATTGTAAGTTCGTTCAGCCTCCGCGTGTGTATCTTTTTGATGTGCTTGATCGTCGCGGGGTTATGCTGCCGTCCCTCGAGCCTAGATATTAGGGCTCATCTTATGCTAACACAGCAGGATCCCGACAACATTTGCCGACCTGCAATAACTTGTCCGAAGTGGAGTCGTCAATCATGTACGTGTTACCACATCGAACACAATCAGAATGGGGGTTAGAGATCTAAGGATACGTACCACTCAATGTTTCAGAGTAGAATGAATAAACAACTTTTCCGCATCTGAGTGCCACACCGAAAAATGTCAGTTCGATTCTCACAACAGTGCCCGGCGTGGTTCGAACACGCTGCTTCAAGATTTGTGGACATCTCCTGATCGACAAGATGCAATCTCACACTCAACCCACTGATGTACGGGCACGTTGAGCGAGGCGTGTTTTTATTAGCGAATAGAACTTTACGGCTATATCCTTGAGCAAAAACAGGATAAGTGATAATTGTTTGAATTGCCCTACCGCCTAGGTCGAACAACGCAGCCTTCCATATCCATACAGAATACAACCTAGCATAAGAGTCTGACGCTCTATCCGATTGAGCTAGGCGGGCTCTCCTCGACCGGTTAGCTTGGAGGAATATGTATCTGTTTTTCACAGTCGATAAGAAAAACTGACTGAGGATTGGGAATTCCCCCTAGCCGATTTGAACGACTGACCTCTTCATCAACTCTGCCATACTGATATACGAGTGAAGCGCTCTACCGCTGAGCTAAGGGGGATAATGACTGTGGAAGATTGAGACCTATCAGGTGGGGGATTACTTGGCTGATACTACAGACCTAGCGAGAAGGGATACGAATTATGTGAGAAGGGTCAGTCTCAGCTACTCTGGGGTTTCAAATAGACTGGTGTCGGTAGGTACGGATACTAGCAGGTTGGAATCACACCAAATGCCATGCTCGGAATGAGAAGTGTGGAGACATTTAAAAACATCCTTGTCAACCTCTGTGATGTGGTTCGATCCAGACTCGAACTGGAGACCTTGTGTGATCTTCTTTTCTGATCACACAGTATGTGAGACAGATGTGATAACCGACTACACCATCGAACCGGTGGTTAACTGGGTTGGAACATGTATCAACCCTTGGCACAGGATTCCACTGATGTGGACGTACTGTGACTGTAAGAAATGCGGGTATCATTCAAGGATCCTGACCTACTAAAGGTTGAAGAAGAACTCGAAGTCACTAAGGAGGACTTCCTTGTTTGTGACCAAGACATTTTGGCAAACGTTTATATCAAAAAGAACTAATATATGAGGTGATATAAGGTTTCAGGTGCGAGAAGCTGTGAAGAATATTCTTCTTAAGCGGTGTAGTTCTAGTGCCACGACTTAAAAGGGAATGGGAAAAGGATCAGCATAAATAACCACCAAGCTTTGGCACCGTTCGATCTGGGTCTGCGGAATAACACAGGGAAAACGATGGGATGTAAATGGAGAAGAGTTTACAAGATGTCGAGACTTGTATACTCCTCGAAGTACGGACCGTGATGGTCCACTCCTCAAGAGCCGAGTGGAAGAGCAAATGGCGAGCAAGAACTTACCGCATTGCTGCGTCCTTCGTGGGCCCTAGAGTATGTTTCTCAAGCTCTTTCCCGCAACCATGAGAGTCCCAGATCCTGTTATGAACATAATGGTGAATAGACCGATATTCGATTCGTGAAACAGGCTTTGATCAAGAACGGGATCAATGATATAGCTGGAGGCGACGCAGCTGTGCGCAACGCCCGACTTACCTCCCACAAATCGGAGATGCGATGTAATTTTTCGATCAATGACGTTGAGGGGAGAGCCAGAGTAAAGGTGTAGTAGAACGGGCAGCGGACTGTTGGCTTCTTGGCTATGATTATAGCCTCTATTTATCGCGGTGATGTAATACCTTGGTAAATTATTCTGGGGCAAGTTTGTTGATAAATGCAAGTACCGTCGATAATTTGGACGTCGTTAAGATAGCTTGGAAGGTAACGGTTCATAGTATCACCCTAAACTGTTCAGTCATACGAGCTGAGTTTCGAATTTCGCAGACACTAAATGTTGTTGAATAATACTAAAAGTGTACCAGCTATGCTCAGGATAGAGAAATGAAGACAAGGAATTCTCGAGTAACTCCGAAATCGAAGATTGGTAATGATAGAGGTGAGTGCCATCAGCACCGGACCGGACGGCGCTCTCACACATGTACCATTTAGGTCGATCTTTAGACCAAAAGATCCGTTGAAAGCCCCCCATCGGACTTCAACCTCCAGAAACTCGCAAAAGACTCGTGTCAGACTCCGCGCCCAGAATAAAGTGAGTTCAGCCATCTAGTGTCCGTTAATAATTATTGACACTGCCTGCTGGTAGCATCTTCCAAGAATTAAACTTGCAGGAAAGCGAAGAGGAAGTATGTGACACGTTTGTTACGACATCAGTGGGGGGAAACCGTCGTGACTACTCCGTATCACGCTCGTTTTCTTTTCTTTCGCCTCTGCTAGTCCCCGCAATCGCTTGCATCTACTTCAATATAATTGTCGTCCCTCCATCATGTTACATGCGTGCGCTAATTTGTTATCTTTGTTAGTCGGTTAAGAGCAGCATTTGGTGTGTGTAATTGATGAGATAGTCGGAGTGGTACGTTCCTTCGATTTTTCGTCACGATCTTACGTTCATACTGTCCCTTTTCCTTGACCAGAATCTCTCGTTCCTCCGACCCACGGTGACGGTCCAGCATACCCCAAAGACATATAAATCAAGACTCTACAACCCATACCCTCAAAGCGGTGTTCAGGTCTCAATCTCGCTTCCTGTTCGTGTATCCAACGCGCAACTTACTTCATTTGTGGTTCATCATTCCGCTCTCCAGGAACGATCCTTACCATGACTCACAAGCGATTGCATTATTCCTTCATCTATACGACGGGAGCTGATTTTTATCCGGCTTGATTACACGATCCATAAAACTCCCCCGCCTCAGCTCTGGGAGCAAAAGCATAAACCGTTTTCCCGGTAGAAAGGAAAGAGGATACAGGGCAATATTCAACGTGCGTTACCAACCCACTGTAATCTGCATTATCTGAACCATGTCCGTATTCCTTTACCAGTCTCTCAACTACTCCTATCCCGTCGCGACAGCCGTTCTTTTTCTCTCGATTCCCACAGCCATATCAAGACACAGTCACCAAGTCCCTGAAGCATAGCGCCTATCCGATACCCAAGCCACGTTTGCTTTCAACTTGGAGACCAATCAACAACCAATTACCAACACCCAAACGATCACGTTTATAGAGGAACGGTTCTAAGGATGCATTTCGATTTATCCGTGTACGCCAGGCTCTGATCCTTATCCCCGGGTTGCCAGCCCCACACGACTCTGGAAAATCGGGTTACGTGTCAAGTTGGACGGATACAGGTACTACTCCTCGTTATGTCTCTTTCTCTAGAAATCTGATTGAAACTCTTCTCTTCCAGGCCCGCGTTATTGCTTAGTATCGATCATCATCGGATACCAAGTATTTTAGTCTAGAAAATTCGCTCGCGACCTACCCCTGACCTTCCATCGGCACTCAGTCCACCCTCCCCAATCAGCATTCCCA